AAATGGAGAAGCGGGAGAAGAAACTTGGTAAAAAGATGGGGGAGAGGGAGATAAAAGAGATAGAAGGGGGGAGGGGTGTTGCGTGAAAGCAGAGAGAAGGCAGGGGATAGTTTTTGCGTGAGGAACGGTAATGATTCTGACAGAAGGAAAAGTAAATTGATTAATTTACAAAGAAGGGTATAATTGGCAAACGAAACGGACCATTCAAAGTTAGCTCCTGTTTATGGAATAAACGAACAAGGACCTCCTGTTTTAGAATTATGTTAATGTTTTACTCCCTTACAGAGCAATTACTTAAAAAAGAAACAACATTATAGTTAATTAACATTAATATTACATACTGCTCTGTGATCTTTGACAGCAAAGGCCTCAGTTTTCGCCTCTCAAATCCGAATGCTCTCACAAAGCCAACTTGGTGAAGCTTTCAGCCTAATCTGAACTTTCTACTCCTAATCCAGCTAGAGTTGTCGGTGAAAGTCAATTCAGCAACAATGCCTAACCCTTCCTTTAAGGTCACTTGCAGGTATGAGGTCCAGGTCCCCCAGTAAGAAGTGGCCTCTTACCTTCTTTATGTTCTTTCACTATGTGAGACTCAAACTCTTAGTGGCTCCACCCTTCATCAGCTTTGTAGTTGAAATCTCCTTCTAGGGAAACAATGTCTATGTTTGGCTGAGGATTCTGGACCTGATGTCACAAACACGTCCAGTTTCACCATCAAGGAGAACAACACGAATGGAAAAATCTTATTTTCCCTTTACTTTTTCTCCTGTGAAGAGGGGGTAGGACAATTTGGAGCTAAAGTGTAGTTTTCAGCTTCTAATACCTCACCTTTCTATTGTTTCTGGAGAAATCCCTTTCAGCAAGGCATAATAAACTCATAACTAATTTGGAAAGAAGTGAGATAAGTACTAAATTTTAGAGTATTTTATTGCAGCTTTTTACCACTTTACATATACCTAAGTACAAGCAGCAAAGCGCTCTAACTGGTAGCATTCATAGCAAAATAAATGTATACTCCCTCAGTTTTTAACATCTAGGGCAATTTTATCTCATTAAAATGTAAATATCAGTGTTTTGAACACCCAGTTTGAATGGAGGAAGTCCAACCATTTAAGCAATATAGCCTCCTTACAGAAAATTAAAGAGTCACTCAAAAGAGAGGAAGATAAAAGCCATGTCCCTAAATATGTGTGGATAATGCAGATAAGAAAAAAGGCACTAAGCTAAGATTTAAAGAAACATCAATAAAATAGCAAATTTTATGGTCATATATTTAATCAGTATCTTAGCGAATTTGTGTTTAGAAAAAAAAAAAACAGAACATTCAGCTCCTCAATAACATACCATGTACTTTGTTCCTTTATACGTGCCATCTAAAGGAACAGAAAATTCAGCTCCTCATTCCTCAATAACATACCATGCAGTTTTTCATTAAAGGGTTTACTTTTTAAGGGGGTGTGATAAGGTATCCTAAAAGATTAAAGGGTTTACACCCTAAATCCCTAATAGAACTGCTTATTCACCTATGCACGTTGATGTATATTATCTTTTATTTACCAGCCACTAAACTAAACTAAAACTCAATTTTAAGATAATGAAAAATGGCTAAAACTGAAATTGTTGCCCAAAAAGATACCGGGCGATTATTCTCTGAAGCTATAAACATCATCATGTGCACAAGGTATAATGATAATAATTCAAGGCATAAGCTAGCCTTCAAATGCATCGAATACAAAATGACCATTACAGATACACGATCCAACTTCCATTAGTACGTGTACGACGTAGTGAATGGAAAATCCTATATCAGAATAACAAAATACTAAAATAGTATGTGAGGATGCAGGGTTATCATCCATGCTTTAATTATAATTAAAGTGCTTGTATGTAAAAGGTCAAGAAAGCTTCACAGGCGGTGTATTTGCTGTAGTAAAGGAAATGTAAAGACATAGACTGCAGGGTGGAATTATTATTATAATAATAATTATTATTATTATTACAATTATTGTAAAAAGTAAACTTCAACTCCTAGAGTTTATATACATATGCCACCTAAAGAAACTGTAATCAGCTCCTCAATAACATACAATGTACTTTGTTGGTTGTTTCGGCTTCTACTTTTTTAGATTATAAGATTTAATAGAATAGATTGTTAGTTATTATATAGGATAGCATTCCTTGTCCCAGGGCCGTGCTTACTGTGAGGCCACTAAGGCATGGGCCTCAGGGCCCCAAAAATGTCAAAAATTTAGGGGCCCAATATTTTAGCCATTTTCCTATTATATATATGTATTTTTAAAATATAAAAGACATGCCTTTGTTTGATTCTATCGCTGTTGCGTTTAAAAGGTGAAATAGCTGACAAATTGACTTACGAAGTTAGAAGAGTAACAGTCAAACTAGGTTACCAGACCGCAAGGCGGTGCGCCGGTAAAAGACATGCCTTTTGATTTTCAGTTTTTTGTGAATAGCTTTTGAGTTTGCAACTTTCAGACTTTTGAGAATTGAGATTATAAAGTAAGAGAGTTTATGGACCCATTTTGAATTTGTTTTGGACACAATGAAAAACTCTTGTTTTGTCTTAATCGAAGATGAATATAAATGTTCTAGGGTTGTTTTGAGATCATATTGCTTGACACATACATTTAGAAAATTAAGTGTGAACTTAATTTTGAATATTCAAACGAGTTGAGATGCATAATTAAACAATTTCAGTTTTTTTATATTTAATATTAAAACATTTTAAGTAGGTTATGTTCTCTAATTTAGTGACAAGAATGCATTATTTAGCACATTTGTTTAACTAATATTAGGATATGTCACAAAAAACTAATATTGTCATATATATGATTTCAGTAAATTGTGTTTTGTTTATCTTGAGTTTGACTCGTTAGAACACTTACGTCGTATCAAGGATCACGAGACTTATGTTACATATCTTGGAGGAACGATTCAAAATGAATTGATACAAATGTTGGCAAATGAGGTTAGGAAAAGGATACAAAAGCATACATCGCATACATAATTTTGTTGACAACACCTGTTACAGTAGCCAGTGCAGAAAGAAATTTCTCAAAACTTAAGTTGATAAAGACATTTTTGCGATCAACCATATCTCAAAAAAGGTTTAATGGATTAGCTATGTTATCAATTGAGAAGGAATTTATTGAACACCTCAATTATGCCGACTTGATTAATCTTTTGCTGCTAAAATAGTTCGACGGGTTGTACTTAATTAGTTACTTTTAATACAATTGGTATTTTTATTGTAAGAATTTTATTTCATTAGTATAGCTATTTTGTGATGTTACGTCTTTAACTATAAAAAAATTATACTACATAAAATTTTAATTTATAGGGGCCTTTTTACGAAGTTCGACTCGGGCTTGAGTTTAGGTAGGATCGGCACTGCCTTGTCCTAACTCATTTATTTGTTTAATCATTGGATAATTATATTTTTCATGTCCATATACATGAAACATAAATGTATTCTAAAATCTCATTAAGACATATTCACAAACACCTAGTATGATTCATGAATTTTTGTTTGACCTCCAAAATTAGGTTCATACACACACTCAAATATTACAAGAAATCTTAGTTAAGCTAATTTACACCAACCAATTAAACATGATCGAACATTCAGATTAATACCATCTTAGTTAAGCTAACTCCACACTTGCTTCTAATTTAATACCATCTATTCATTATCAGCAAAACCTTACCCTCATTCTCATAATCCATAGCATTGGTGGGAAATTCATGAGGATGTTTGACCGGAATTTTGTGAATTTGAGAACCAAACTATGCAATTTGGTTGCATAAATCAGTCGTGACATACAAGAAATGTTGGGAAGTTGTGAAGGTAAGGCATCTAGCTTAACAATTCCATCGTCTTTCGCCGTTTTTACCGTTCTATTTGTCTCCCACGAGCGTGATACTCTTCTCACCTAGAAGAGTACTATATCCGGTAATCTGGGTATGGTAATAGATTTCATCCTTTTCAACAAACCAGGAGATTAAAGGGGGGTGAAAACCAATAAGTCAAAGAGAATTAGTATATCGGGTAATCTGGGTATGGTAATAGATTAGGGAACTAACGGGAGACCGGAGTGATAGGGTAAGGCGCCGGTAGCAGAAGGTTATTCGGTATCATGTTCTTGTTCAAAGTTAAAAGCATAATGTACAACTGTATTGAGCACAATGTTACCACCAACACTTTTTTAATTCCCAAAACAATATAACCCTTTTTTTTTCTTTTTAACCCGGAAGGTTCCCAAAACGATATAACCCTCATTCAGGCTTATAAGTTTATATTAGATATGGAACATAGTTTTATGAAATTAATATTTTTTTTTTTAATTTAATGAGGGCGTTTGTCACAAAGAACATTTATATACTACGTATTACTTTCATGTTATATATACATAGTATCTTTTTGTATAAAATTTATTTTTGGCCAACGTAGTACACATTTGACCAAAAGTTCAAAGTTGTCAAACCTTTAGTATTACTTTCTATAAAATTCTAAGTCTTATAGTGAGTGTCGTTTTTTATTTGAAAAACGATACAATAGATCTTTGTGACTTTGTTTCAAATAATATTCATTCAATATTAGGAAACGCAATACTACCGTATTCTTTAGTTTGGTGCCTTTCCTTTGGGATTTTTTTTGGTTTGCTACGCTTTTCCTTTTTGGTATGTTTTCACTTTAAAAAATACTCAAATATCGTTACTTTTTCTACTTTTCATATTCTCTTTTATACTTTTCCACCTCTCCTACATTTTCTACACTATTCACTACCTCTACTATTTTTCCCTTAATTATTGTGCCAAACCCTATTGTAGCCGACAATAGAATATGGAGGGAGTATCTTGTTTCAGTCTTTGAAAAAAGAAGACAGAAATTATACCAAATGACACCTTGTCTTTATAAAGGAGTGATTTATTCCAAGTTAAGTTGGTAAATGTTGGTTTCTGTTCAAATGTCGTGCAACTGTCTATAGTACACTTTCCTTACTTGTTTGTTTTTGTTTTCTCTTAGAACTATCTGCATCAAATAATCACGCTGTGAGTAGTATCCCTGATGTACTCCACTTGAAGGTTGGATGTGCAGACATCCCAGCCTACAAGATATCAGAGTTAATAAAGTAACCCGCACGGGTAGCTCAGTTGGTTGAGTGGTGGGAAATTTGGAACAATGACCAAGGTTCGAATCCCCACAGCGACCGGGTGGAGGTCACAGAACCTGAAATAAGACTGGGCCTCTGCTGCGCACGGGTGTATGGGCCTACTGCCACTCTACTGACTGAGTCACCATGACTTACATCCTCCCAAAAGTCTTGTCGGGTCGGGGCATGGGGGCGCTTGGGGTTGGTGATTTGGAGTAAATACTTAAATGCATAGGTGTAAAAGTACCTCCCTAGGCCAGGATTAGTCTTCAGTCACTGCCTAATGTCTTGCAAGTTGCAACAATCTTGAAAGGCCGTTATTTCCTATTTTATGACTTCTCAAATCAATTTGTGTATTTAATGATATGTGATTGCTCTTATCTCTACTATTTTCAATGTTCAGGCTTCCTCTACCCGGTCATTATTCAGTGCTGTGAAATTGCATTCTCGATGAAAACATAGAGAGAAAGAATGGAGATATTCCTCAGGTATGGTAAATCACATCGGTTTCCCAGTCAAGTTTGTGTGTGGGAGTGAGGGAGATAATTTTTAAAGTTAAATCACTCACCAATCTTATTTCCCCTATATTTTCAGTCTGCAACATCACTGCTAAAGCTAGTTCTGCAAGAAATTGAGCTTCGATTTTCAAAACAATCAGAAAATTTGAAAAAGGTATGTGTGCTTTGGACAATTAATCATTTAGTCTTGGAATACAGAATCGGCTTTACTGATCTATTAAATGTTGACAACTCTCACATGCAGCAAAATAGCCTGGCCTCTACAAGTCTCTCGAAGTAAAGTATCAATTAAGAGAAAGGGTTTTGGAGACCCTTAGAACAGGAACTGCTGAAGAACACGAGGTATTATTAATCATGAACATGAGTGCTGCATAACTTTTGATTTCATTGTGTGCACTTAAAATGCACTTTCTTAATCTTTTTGGTTGGTTCATTCTTCTATAATTTTTAGTTATGAGAGCTAGCTTACCATGTAGAAAGATATTTTCTTTCATAGCCTGGATGGGCTTCCTTTGATACTCCACTTTATTTTTGTACTACAGATTGAGAAGGTTGACTTTGAAGAGAAGGACAAACGTAGACAGCAAGAAATCAGTGATTTGAAGAAAGATAAAGATAATTATGAGATGAAGATTTCTTCACTAAACCATGATTTGGAGTTAACCAAAAAGAAACATGAAGAGAAATGCTTGCAGCTAGAATCACAAACAGAAAAAACTAGAATTGAGTTAGGGAAGAAGATAATGGAACTTGAGTGTCTTCTAAGTGATTCAAGGAAGAAGGTGGAAGAGCTCGAAGCCTTTTCAGAATCAAAGTTTCTGACATGGCAAAAGAAAGAACATGGCTATAAAGTCTTCATAGAATCTCAGTTTAGATCTTTACAGGTTTCCATTAATCTTTAATCTTATGCCTTGTCATTACTAAATAACTATCATGCCTACATCTCAGTGAAGATTTGTATCAGGCACTGAGAATGGCATCTGAGTCCTTGAAGCAGGAAGTTTTGCAGACCAAGAAGATCTATGCTGAAGAACTAAACCGCTTTGGTTAGAATGTTGACTAACTTAATGATCATTAGTAACTTGTTGATGCTTAATGACATCTTTCGGAACTGAATAATGTCATAAAACTATTACATCGCCTCGTCATCATATTCGGTTCGCCGGTTCGGTATCCCACCACCATTAGACTTGACACCACTTGGAACCGACGAACGTATTTCACTATTTCCCCCCTGAAAAAAAAAGGAGCATGCGAGCCACACAAAAAAAGAGCAAGCGAGCCACAAAAAAAAATGATAGAGGGGGACGAGCATAGAACCCGAGACGTGGGAACCCTAGCGGGGTAAACCAGTTCTTCCCCTTACTCGTTGATGGCGAACATCTTTTGCATAGCAGAAGACAAGTAAGATCACGAGCGTGGGTTGAACGAAGAATGGGAACCCTAGCGGGGTAAACCAGTTCTTCCCCTTACTCGTTGATGGCGAACACCTTCTGCACAGCAGAAGACAAATAAGATCACGAGCGTGGGTTGAAAGAAGAATGGGAACCCTAGCGGGGTAAACCAGTTTAGTAGAAGGCTATAGACAAATCCTAGCGGGGTAAATGAAGGCTATAGACAAATCCTTAAAGTAAGTGGTTTGATAAGTCCGTATTTAGACACACATTTGATGTGTGTTCGGATCGGCTTTTGATGGTTTTTCTAGCTTTAATGTGTTACAAGTCTCAATTTTAGCTTAAGTTATGTTTACCAGGCATTGGTTCGAGTTTTGTGTCATTTGGAGTCAAAATAAGGAATTTAGAGTTCAGCACCGGCGCTTGAGGAGCAATCGGGATTATTCGAGATGCATTCGAGAGTGGATTGAGAGATTTGGATGTCACCGGAAGGTTCACGATGAAGATTTGATGACAAAAGAACTCTAGGATTGGCTATGGGATCAAAAGAAGATGAATGAAGCTTGAAAACGACGATCAGGATGACCTTCTGTCAATCACTCAAGCATATCCATTTGTAGAAGAATCCAAAGAACATTATTCAAGTTGCATATGAAAGCCAACTTTAAGAGCTACAAAGAATAAGAAGACACCTTTAAGAGAATCTGAGAGGAAGAAGGTGAAAACAGACGATGAAGTCAGATGATCCCTGTTGCGATTTCAGAATGTGACCTTCCACCATTTTGATCATATCTATTGATTGGATGAATTAAATCCCATTTTGTGAAGAAAACGTTGTCAAATTCGGAAGTTACGTAGGCACGATTGTGCCCTCAAAGTTAGGCACGATCGTGCGTGAAAAGAAAGAACCGCGGAGCTACTGCCAGCCAGGCACGATCGTGCCTCCCTCCAGGCACGATCGTGCCTGCCCAAAACACGCGTTTTTTCTCCGGAGGCACGATTGAAGGTGTGACACCGCACCCGAACGTCCTTGAAAATTCGATTTAAAAATTCAAAGTTTATGTATTGAATTTTTGATTCCCAAACAATTGTAAAACGATTAATGTTTTTCGTAATTAATGATCGATTATTGTACCGTTCGAACTCGTATATTAGTGTCGGACATACAAATACTATTTGGGACTTATTAATAAATAAAAGAGCCCAACATTATCTAAATAGTGATACATAACATTTCAAGACAATTTGAGGAAGGCCGGGCGGCCCAAACATTACTTTGGGCTCAACCTGCTAAAAATAGCAAGTATTCGAGAATAGCGTCCTAGACCCACTCGGGAGTGACCACACGGCTAGTATCCAAATAATATGTATGACAAATGTCAAAATAAGTGATAGAATAATTAGAGAAGAATACAAATGCCTATAGCCCCATCTTTGGCATTATTGAGCTAAATAATGGGAGTAGGGTTTTTCTTCTATAATATTCATCATATAAATTATTGAGATGAGCCTACACATGTTGGAGATCAATAATGTGATGTAGTAAGTTGACTTGTTCTAAATAAATTAGGATGAGTACAAAAAGACATCTTTTGACAAAAGATAAAACAATAGGACCCATCTTCCCATTTTTGGAAGTATTGGTAGATGTTTTGGACCCCAAATTGATTGTGATCACTTGGGGAGCACCCCACACCTTATTGGCACCTGAAAAATAAAGAGAATGAGTTAAAATCCTTGGTTGGGGCGGACAAAAAGAGAGGGGGGCTGAACAAGACATGTTTGTGAACCAAATGGACCCTCTCCCAATTTTTTTTTTTTATTGAAGGTATCTTGCTCCATCATCCCACATGCCAACCCACTCCTATCCTTTGACTTTGGAGGCTAAGTTAAGGCCAAGATAACACTTCCCCAGCTCTCATTCGAACTCCCCAAGATAAGAGAGAAGAAGAGAGCCACACAACCTAAGAGAGCAAGGAGAAAGCAAACTGCCCGCAGATTTTTCCTCCAGTGCAATGGTTACTTGTTTGCTTCATATCTCGAGTTATACACATCCAAATAAGGCGTATTATATACCAAAGGAAAGCTCTCAAGACGAGGAATCCGTGAAGGTCTTATTTGAATCCATCGGAGCAGAGGAAGGCTTCCAAATCGTCCGAGCAAAACACGACCTTGCAGAAACGGATTTGCTCTCCTAAGTGAGTTTTGACCCCAAAACCTTTCCTTTCTTTTCCCTAATGATATGATCGACTTGTGGAACTATTATACCCTACTCCAAGTGTATAATATGTCCTTGTAAAGTTATTTTATTGATGTAAAGGTTGGATACTAACCTAGAGTAACTTTGGAGAAACTAGGAATCGAGTTAGCCGGAAAACACCCATTCTAGGGGCTGTTTTCGTATCAACGATTTGGGGGTTGGACTAGCACTTTGAGGAGGCTGTTTAACACTCATATTTGAGCAAGGAATCAGTTCCAAATCCACCTTGACCAAAGCTTTGACCATTGGACCAAGGAGGGAGAGTTTAAAGCTCAATTGAGGTGAGGATTGACATCTAATTGCTTACAACTTGTAGGTTAAGCATGGGATTACCTAAATGCCTAAATCATAGTTTTTTTTATGGATTATGATGATTATATAATGATGAAATATTGACATAGTTGCCAAAGAATGAAATTGGAAATGATTTGAGAATGTATGAATAAAATGAGATTAAATGAGTTATAAATGAACTATTTAGTGAAATAGGCATTTTACTCATGTATGAGTTATGTGGATATATAAATGAATGTTTATGTATTGAGATTGAATACTAAAGTTGCTGCTACATAATTATTAATATGTAGAGGATTACAAATAATGAGCATATTTGTATGATAACAATAATCTTAATAGTATGAAAATACTAGTTAGTGATTATTGGAAATTGTTGATGGAATTGATCCTAGGGATTGGATTGTAGGAAATGCACTTGAGTATACTTCAAGTGTATATGATGACTTAGTATGAAACTAAGGTTAAGTGGTGGGAAGTCTTTAAGGATGACCCATGGTAGTTCATTGATATGTCAATTCTAGGCATAGGGTTGCTTAAGAATTGGACCTTCATGCATGGTGATGTGATAGAGCCGAGCTCTAGGATGCATGGTAAGGGGGTAGACTTGTAGTCTATGTATTGAATAGCTAGAGCCGAGCTCTAGGGCTTGCGTGGTGATGTGGTAGAGCCGAGCTGTAGAACGCAAGGTAAGGAAATTGACCCGAGTGACATGAATTGTATGGTGATGTGGTAGAGCCGAGCTCTAGAATACAATGTCATGTGTTAGGGTTGGACTCTATGAGTTGTCGTGGCTTATAGCCACGGGGAATGAGAATGGTGATTTGTAAATGAACATGGGCCCACGGGCCGACTACTTGACTTTTATATAAAGTAAGTATATTTTCAAACAGGGTAACTTAGGGTTACAAATCATAATGTACTATCACCCTATTTGAGGGTCTTTTGTTTGAAATACTTGTTGTATATCTATTAGATGCCTGCCACACCAGTACTTTATAGCCGTATAGAGTACTGACCCCTTCGGGGGCGTCCCACCACCATTTCAGGTTGAGGCTAGAGCTTGCATCCTGTGCTCGTTGATCGAGTGATCCCTCGGAGAGAAGACTTGGTTTGTGCTTCCTCCATTCTATTTGAAACATTAATGAATTTTCTCATGGATATTTTACTATAGAGCCTGCGTGCTCATGAATAGCCCTGTGTGGCTCTTTTGTTTTAACAATGTTTTCCGCTGCGTTATGAATTACTTATTATGTTTGTTTATGGATGTTATGTGTGTGAATGATATTCAAGACGCCTGGTATAATATGAATGTGTTGGACTGCGGTTGACTATTCGTATTGTACGGCGGGTTGTTGACGTGTCCGGGGAGGTCCGGGGCGTGACAGAAGGCACGATCGTGCCTGGCACCATGCCTGCCTCCGGAAATCCCAATTCATCTCAAATTTGACCCGGTTTTTCTATTTAAACAGCCTGTAAAGCCCCGTTTTCAGGGGGATTTAGAGAGAGGCCTAGGGACGAATTCTTGCATATTTTTCCGCTTTGTTCTTCAAGACCCTGAGATTATTTGTAAGTTCCATCTTTTTTAAATAATATCAATTATTTCTATTCATCCTAATTCCGTTGATTCTTCAATTATGAATTGCGAGTAGTTTTAATTAGGATTTGGGGTTGATGAAGGGGTTAATCATCATGTATGGCTAAATTCATGATGGATTAATTGCATGAATGCCGTTTAATTTGTGTTTGAATAATTTAACTGATATCTTTTGTAACCTAGAATCGCGGCTAGAATTACAATTGTTTGTAGAATAAGTTAAGAGAGATCTAATTTATTCTAAGACACCTTCACGCACACTTAATCGTTCGCTAAGAGATTAGTAGTGATTAAGGGGCCGTAAGCTCGCTCGTCTTGACAATAATTTAGGATCCTGTCGCGTGAGAGATCAGCCTGGTCCACTAAATTATTGTACTCTACACCGCGAGAGCGGTAAGAACTTGGTAATGATTAGCTAGGCTCAATTAAATTAATTTCATGTAGTTAAGCCTGATCTGCCAGAAATCTGGTTACCCCGGAATCAATTCATGTTCCATTTGTCATTAATTAGAAACAACCCCTAGTTTAATCGTTTTATTTGCAGTTTAATTTTCCAACCAATCAATCTCGCACGACGCTTTTATTTTATTTATTTTTTTCGTTGAATTTAATTAATCTATAATTCCCTTTTGTCCGTTCCTGTGGAGACGATACTCGTACTTACGCCATTATATTACAATCTTTTTAAGTGCGAGAAAACTCACATCATGGTTACACTCTTAATTCTTAATCACCACTACGGCACTACCAAAACAATTGATATATACGAGATCTATTTTCTGTGTTTTTCAGCTTGTTGGTGCACCAACAAACTCAAAACAGTACTCCCTCCGTATTTACATGTTCCTTACATTTGCTTTTGGCAAAATATTTTAGAATAGAATAGTAAGAGTAGCGAATATTGTAGAATAAGTAGGAGAGATTGTGTAAAAATATGAAAGAGAAGATAAAAAGTAGATAAAGTAAGAGTATTTGAGTATTTTATAAAGGATAAACTTACCAAAAATAGAAGTGTAAGGAACTTTTAAATACATCCAAAAAAAAAAAGTGTAGGGAACATTTAAATTCGGAAGGAGTATCATATAACTACGCTAACTTTAAAACCAGTATCATGTATTGAGATACATGCATGATAATTTACCAATAACATACTGTTATCGCACCAAAACCTTGGTATACCTAAATTTCGGTAAGGTAACGGTATATGAATTTTGTATACGTAAAGTGTTGGTACGACAAAGGTATGAGAGAAAATATTCCATATACCTTACTGAACCACCCCTATATGACACTATGTTACTGTGACAAGAGTCACTATGCGATGAGGAGTGAAAATATTGATATGAAACAGTGACAACACTCAAAAGGGAGTACTGTCAAAAATTTTGTACTTAAAAGAGAAATTGCAAATTTACTAGAATATATAACAAAAAGGAAAATTGGACACAGTTTTAAGGGACGGAGGAAGTAATAAATGTTGTGTATTTGTATTCCTTACCCCGTTATAAATGTCATTCCGTGTTTTATTAAACATGTACTATGTTTTTTTAAAACTTATCTATCATTTATTAACATTCTTAACTCAAAAAATCACAAATAACCTTTAAAATTTATAATGCACGGGTTAGATACGGGGGGGGGGGGGGGCTGTGTCTTGGTGATTAACTGTTCCCGCGACGCACAAAATACATGGCATCATGCCACCTATATGTAGCACCGATACCGGTACGCGGAAACGCGGAAACGCGGAAACGGGTACGGGGATACGTCAAAACCAAAAAAAGTAGGATACGGATACGGGGCCATATTTATAAATATTAAAAGTTATGGGGGTGTATTTACAAATATTAAAAGTTATAGGGGTCTATTTATAAATATTAAAAATAGATTTTTTTGAATATATATATATATATATATATATATATATATATAATATCCTATGATGTCTACCCATTCATTGCATTGAAGCATTTTCCCTTTTCAAGATACTTAGTAATAAATTCATAATATTTCTCATATACACTAGTGTATCTCGAAATATAAATGTAGTCAATAAGTCATTAATTTAAAATGTGAAATAAGTCAAACAACTACAATCTTGAAATTAAAAGTGCAAGTACCCACTTCGGAGTATGAGTTAATGACTTAATTCGGATATAGCCATATAGGCCCATTATTTGATTACCAAGTAAAATGTAG